GAGTCATGGTTATAGGCATACAGGGCAGCTTATGGGCCGCACAGTGAGTAATGAGAAACAAGGACAGAAAAGACTGGATAAATTCTTTATAAACCTTGCATATCAACCCCTTCTTGGATGTGTGATGTGCAAACATCTTCTCCCATTCAGTAGGCTCTCTTTAATCTGCTGATGTTGTCTTTTGTTGTGCAAAAACTTTTTAATATGATGTAACCCTGATTCTTTATTTTTGCTTTTATGTCCCTTGCCATTGGGGTCAAATCTCCACAGCCATCTCTACAACTGATATCATGGAATGCATGGAATGTTGTCTTCTATGTATTTTATGGCTTTGGGCCTTACATCCAAGTTTTTCTTTTTTTAAAAGATTTCTTTTTATTTATTTATGCATACAAGAGCTGGGATACAGGCCAGAGATGCAGGGGCAGGGGGGTGATGGTGAGAGGATTCACTAGAGATAGAGCGGGGAGCAGAACAGGCAGATGGACTGAAATACACTGCTGAGGGGAGCAGCGGGCAAGACAGGAGAGGTCTGTGCCATGTGGGTTGCTCCTTGGCCGGCCGGGGATCGAACTCGTGCTGCAGAGGCTGCGGATTGCTTCATAGTGTGGTGCTTAACCCCTTGAGCCACCAGGGAGGCCCCAAGTTTTTCTTTTTCATTTGTGCTTATCTTATTTGGGGTTTATTCAGTTGTTTGGCTATGTGGGTTTATGTCTTTTGCTAAATGTGGGAAGATTTTAGCTATTATTTCTAAGAATACTCCTTCAGCTCTGCTTTCTCTGTGCTCTCCCTCTGAGATTCTGATGACACAAATACTGTCTCTTATACTGCAGGTTCCTGAAATCACTTACTTTTTTTTCTTTCTTCCCCACCACCATTCCTTATACCCCTTTGACCTTTTCTCTCTCCCCCTTACATCTAAGTCTTTAATTCATTTTAAAATTATTTTCGTGTATGGAGTTAGAGAGTGCCCAAGTTTCAGTCCTTTACATGTGGCTGTCTGGTTTTCCCAATGCCATTTGTTGAAGAGATTTTCCTTTCTCCATTGTATGATCGCAGCTCCTTTCATACATTAGGTAAGAATGTATGTGTGCACTCATTTCTGGGCTCTTAGTTCTGTTTTGTTGATTTGTGTATCTAATTTTATTCTTTTTAAAAAAATTTATTTATTTATTATACAAGAACTGGGGTGTAAGCCAGAGGTACGGGGGTGGGGGGAGAGGACTCACCAGAGAAAGTGGGGAGCAGAACAGGCAGATCCACTGAAACATTGTGCTGAGGGGAGCAGTGGACAAGCCAGGAGAGGTCTGCTGTGCCATGTAGGTAGCTCACTGGCTGGCCAGGGATTGCACTCTAGCTGCAGTGACCGGTGACAGCTTGATAGCGCTGTCCTTAACCCCTGTACCCCCAGGGAAGCCCCTCTAATTTTATTCTAAAGCCATACTGTTACTTTATAATATAATTTAAATCCAGGTACTATGATATCTCCATTTTTTCCCTCAAAATTTCTTTAGCTGTTGGAGGCCTTTTGTGGTTCCATATAAACTGTAGCATTTTTGTCCTATTTCCTTAAAAAACATCACTAGAATTTTGAAAGGGACTGCACTGAAACTGTATATTGTTTTTGGAGAATGGCGATTTTGACTATGACTTATTTGGACTTTGAGACTTTTGTAAGAGACAAATCTATGTCTCACTTGGCTGGTGGATGAAGCCCAGGTCAGCTTCTGGGGAGGAAGTAGAAGAAGCAGTAGTGTCCCTAACACATTCATCTCACAAATATCTTGTAAGAATCTACACAGGGTATGGAGGCATGCTTTATTTATTTGTTTGCTGGTTTGTTTGTTTGTTTTGTTTATACATGCACTGGGTACAGTCAGAAGTGCGGGAGGGTGAGAGAATTCACCAGAGCCAGAGCGGGGAGCAGAGCAGGCAGAAGGACCGAAGTACACTGCTGAGGGGAGCAGCGGGCAGCAGGAGAGGTCTGGCGCCATGTGGGACCCTCTTTCGGTGGCCGGGGAGCAGCCGGGGATCGAACCGGTGCCGCAGAGGCCGCGGGCAGCTTCGCAACCCAGTGCTCAACCACTGCGCCACCGGGGAGGCCCCCTACACAGGGTATGGACAGGAACAAGATGCAATCACCGCCCTCAAGGCTTATGGTCTAACGAGGGACACAGTATAAGAAGCAGGCAATTACAAATCCCACGTGATAAGTGCTAATACAGGAAGGAAGTATAGGCATTTTGGAAACACATAAAAGAGATACAAAATACAGATTCAGAGGGTCAGCCAGCGAAGACTTCCTAGAAGAAGTAACATCTAGACTGAACTTAAAGGATGAGAACATTAGCCAAGTGCAGGAGGTGGGAAACACTGCAGGTAGAGAAAATAGGACATTGGAAAAGGTCCTGGGATGGAAAAGCACAGTGTATGAGGTTAAGAGCATCTCACAATGGTGCAAAGGGTCGGAGCATGTTTATGATCACTTTGGACTTTTGGTGCCCAAAACCTAGCCTCCAATTTTTCCTTTTGTTTTCTTTTTTTAAAGATTTATTTATTTATGCATACAAGAGCTGGGGTACAGGCCAGAGATGCAGGGGGTGAGAGGGTTCACCAGAGACAGAGTGGGGAATAGAACAGACATACTGACTGAATTACACTGCTGAGGGGAGCAGCAGGTGAGACAGGAGAGGTCTGCCTCGCCATGTGGGTTGCTCCCTGGCCGGCCGGGGATTGAACTCATGCTGCAGAGGCTGCGGATTTCTTCATAGTGCGGTGCTTAACTCTTGTGCCACCAGGGAGGCCCTAGCCCCCAATTTTTCATTTAACAACTTTTTACAGATTGCCTACCATGTGTAAAGACTTTACAGGTGTGGTGTGTGTGTGTAAATCTGCACACCATGTATGAGCCTGCATTGATCTTCCATCTCTTTCCACATCTACTTTCTGAAGACTGATGAGCTAAGGTGACTGTCCTCGCTAGCAGGCCTGGTTTGCATCTTGGCTGTCATGTGTCTTAGTTATCGACATGCTTTGGATTCCATCAGCTCTGGTGAGAAAGTTCCAGCCATTAAGTGGGGCTTGCATTAACCCTTCAGCCTGCAGGGGCAGTGGGTCAGACATGAGGCAATGCAGCAAGGTGACATTGTACTGTTCTGAGTTAGTGAAGCCTGGAAACATCTCCTTGCTCCTATCAGTGCAGAGAAAGATAGCAAAGATGATATTTGCTTTTTAGCTGAGGGCTGGATACCAGAATTCCTACCAGAGCTAAGAAAAGATTTGGCTTATTCTATTTAAACCTTTGGAGCCCATAGACATGTGGCAGGAGGCTGGGGTGGGTGGTGCTAGAACAGCCAGTCTCAACTTGCCTGCTATCTGATGTCTATGTGGTTGGTGACTTCTGGGCCTGAAGTCAGACATGAGGCTTACGCCATCCCCAACCTGGGGCTTTGAGTTGCCTAAAACACCTGCCTTGACATTTTTATAAAACGCCAAGCTCACCCTCTTAAAAAAACAATTATTACAAGCAAAATGAATCATGATAGAGGTTGTCCCCAAGGAGATACTGCTTCTGAGAAACCATTGAAGGCTACCAGCTGGCTGCTCTCCCCTTGACCTGCGTGTGACCAGAGTAAGACCTATGACGGTCCCAGCTTTGGGGAAAGACTCAGTCACTCCGGTCGTCCCTCCCTGCCTAACCCAGGTATGCTGATGTCATAGGTGCTGGGTGGAGGCTTAGGCGGTAGGACCTTTCACCTCCTTCCTGCCCATTCGGTTCCCTGCTGCAGCCCCAGGTGCCCCCAGGGGGCAGGTAGATTCTGGCTGTGCACAGACGCTGGCTCTTCTGCTGGGGGTGGCATGAGGGGAGAATGGGGCTGGGCTTTGCCACCAGGAGGGGCTTTAAGAATCTGGCCCAGGCTTTGGAGGCTCCCTTGGATTGCTGGGTGGTCACCCCAAAGGAGGCAGAACAGCTTCCAGACTGAGCTCTGGGCGGGACTACGGCCTTCTGGACGCCCCTCTCCCCCAGGAGAGGGCAGGGCACCCTCAGACCCTCTGCTGAGCCCTGAGAAGCGGGTTGGCTTCCGAGGTGGTCGCCTGCGGGGCGCGGCCCTCCCTCCCGCTGCCTCCAAAGCTCAGTTCAGGGTAAAGGTGAGGATAGGCCCCTTCCAGTTAGGGGCGGCCCGGCTGAGTCAGCCTCCCGGGTCAGCCAGCTCCCGCCAGGTCGGAGCCCGGCTCGCAGATAGTCCTGCCGCCCCAAGTCCTCCTGCGTGCAGGGCCGACCCCCGCGGGGCACTGATGTGCCTCCCCCGGGTAGCAGCGAGCCCTCCAGGGCGCGAGCACCGAGCACACCCGCCATGCGGTGAGACTGCGCTGGGCCCGCCCGGGGTTGTCGGACCCCAGTGCGGTGCAGCCCTGGAAGCTCTCTTGACCCCTGCAGGCCGGGCGTGGGCTTGGTCCTGGCTTAGTTTTCCCTTCCCTTCCTGCGACAAACTTAGCATCGTCCAGGGACTTGCTAGACTTGCATTAACCACTCGAATGTCCCCAGTAAACCGGTACCTGCTGCTAAGAGGAAGGATCGGAGGTCCGGATGGTCCCTTCCACCCCCGAGCACAGGGAAAGGAGGGATATACACAGGTTTAACTATGAGAGACGGTGGTTAAGGGCGTGGATTCTAGCGTCCTCGTGGGTTTGTTTCCAGATTTTGTCCATTTTCAGACCTGTTGGCCTAGGTGAGTTCCCATTGTTTCTCAAAGGCCAAGTTCTTCCTCTGTGAAATGGACAATCGTTATTGTGCCAATTTCTTGGGATGAGAGTGAAGATGAAATGAAAGAAAACATGGAGTGCTCTTTGAATGGCACCGGACACAAAGTAGGAACTCAGTCCCTGGCTGTAAAAAATGTCTTTCACTGGAACAACATTTTGCCCCAAAGGGTGGGCATTTCACACTAAAAGGAAGATCCATCCAGGCATGCAGGTTTTACCCTCCCGACCGCCCCCTACTCAGTAGCTACAGTATGCATCCCCTCAACCACTTCTGCTTCCTTCCAGGATAGAACAGTCGTAATTGAAGGCCAGCTAGGAGCCAGGATGCAGTGTCTTCTGAAGGTGGCTAAAACCTGGCTTAGTCAATCCTCCCATATGTACCAACCACCCCCCCCCCCAAGTTTTCTTTCCAGTCCTGAGTCACAGGTCAGGAGGCAACATGGATGACTCTGTTTGTGTCATATCATCAAAGTCTGTTGATTTTTTTAATCATATGGATCCTTTCCTTCCTCTTTGTCCTTGTTACCTTTGTCCAAACTAGAGTCACATTCTGGAGGTGCCGGAATCTCAGTTGAACCTGAAAAGACAGTAAGAATTTGCCAGATAAGGAAAGAATAGATCAATTTAAGTGTTGAGAAAACCACAGGCAAGCTCAGAGTCTTCACAGAGCATGTTCTGTACAGTAATATTCAGCAATGTGGAGGAAGCCAGGCACCCCCCCACCCCCCCACCCCCAGGCGCTGTGGGTAACAGCTTCGCACACCAACTCAGGGGCTCCCCTGCCTGGGTGTGAACTCCAGCTCCCATCACTTTTCAGCAAGTCACTTAGTTTCCCTGTTTAATCATAGGATCTTTATTATGCCACCGCCTATGGTTCTTGGAAGGTTCTTAAATAAATTGACATGTGGAAAGAACTAAGAATTAGTAAGTGTTCCATAAATGTTAGATATTACTGTTGGGGTTCAGATGGTGGGGTTCCTCTGAGAAAGAATTCAGCAGATGTTTCCATTCATCAGCACACAGCAAGTTTACCGAGGAAAGAGGGAAAAAAGGAGAGATGCCTGCATAGATACAGGAGGGCAGTTTTAAAAGACAAGAACTGCACTTTGCCAGGACAAGGCATGTTCTTTGATAGAATTATTGTGGACATTATCACCTTGGAATTAGCTTGGGTTGGTCGTCTAAGATCTTCTCACCCCCACCTCTGGCTGATAATCTTTTCTGACCCCACCTCAGATTCCTGGAAACTTCCCTAACCAGTTTAGTTTAAGATTAATTAATCAACCCTCCCCCATCTCTGGTGTTTGTCCTTGTAAGATCTTCCATCCTAAATTTTTCTACTTTAAGATTCTATCCTCCCTAAGCCTTCCCTAAGGTAAGGTGACTCTGCTTGAAACATTCTCTCATCTCACACTCTTTTTTCAAGATTTTTATAGTCAGATAAAATCCTTTCTTCAGAGTCCCACTCTGGAGAAGAAGGTGGAGAATGACTGAAGGATTTCAGAACTGTTAGGGGGAAGTGATGTCGCGAGCCCAAGGCCCACGTGTTTGGTTTTTTATATCCAACCTGGCTGCCCAACTCCACCCTCAGGTCCCAGCCACCCTCCCTTGGTGGTGATGGGATTTGTCTTTCCCAGAGTCTTGATGGCTTTAGTCTGGAGTGGGGGTGGAGTCCACAAAGCCTGTATGGGATTAACTCAGGACATCACTTCCCCCTAACAGAACGGACCAATCTAGCCTCTAATCTCTCCCCTGCTGAGTAGAAATCTTTAGCACCCACTTTATGCCTTCAAACCCCTCTTAAGGATGGTGCACTTTGGCTGGATCAGTGTTCTAAGTTACCCAGCCAGACCATCCACTAGATAGCTAACAACAGTATGAATTTCATTATCTGCTTAATTAATTAATCTTCTGGAACAAATGGACCCTAAAGCTTCACTGAGGCTGCATTCTAGACATTTCATGTTTGAGGATTCTCCCCCCCCCCCCCCCCCCCCGCAGGAAGTTGTATTTCAGGCAACACTAGAACTCAACAATGGAGGGTGTCTTCTCATTACAAAACACATAAACTGGGCCTCCCTGGTGGTGCAGCAGGCTGGGCACAGTGCTGTGAAGCTGTCTGCAGTCTCTGCAGTGTGGGTTTGATTCCTGGCTGGCCAGGGAGATACCCACATGGCATGGCAGACCGCTCCTGTCCCTCCCCCTGCTCCCCTCAGTAGTGTTTTTGGTCTGTCTGCCTGTTCTGCTCCCCGCTCTGTCTCTGGTGAATTGTCTCGCCCTCCAGCACCTCTGGCCTGCACCCCAGTTCTTGTATAAATAAATAAATCTTTTTAAAAAAGCAAACAAATAAACCAAGTAACATTCTTTTAAATGCTCAAACAGCACTTAAAGGAAAAAAGAAAGGGGAAAGATAAACCTACAAAGCAAAAAACAAAGAAGTCTGAAATCCTACCCTGAAACTGGCTGCCCTGAGGGTGTGGCTAACTTTGATGGAGCAAAACTTGGGTGGAGCTGGGGCCCTCCAGGCTCTACTCTCTAGGAAGAGTGGGCCAGGAGAAATCCAGAGTAGGGGGCAGAGGAATGTGTGGTTCTCTGCCTGCATTCAAGACTTGGAAAAACCATTTCACTGAGAATTTGCTATCTTGGACTTCAGATGAATTTGAGAACAGAAGGTGCACTGGTGTACTATGCGTGGCCTGGCAAGACACAGAAGAAACATTAGCTTTTAGGAAGGTTGGGGGAAAGCACAGGAACTCTGCTACAAGGAAAAGAGATAAGGGGATTAGGTCTTCCTGGAATAGAGCCTTACAGAGAAGTGTAGATGCAAACAGCAAAAGTGTTAGGGGGAAAGGATGTCCTGAGTAAACTCTATACAGATTTTGTGGACTCCACCCCTACTCCAGACCTAAGCCATCAAGACACTGGAAATAACAAATCCCATCATCACCAAAGGGAGGGTTGCTGGGACCTGAGGGTGGAGTTAAACTGCCAGGTTTGGTGTAAAGCCAGACATGTGGGCCTTGGGTTGGTCTCTTGGCCTCACGGCTCTTGGCTCTTCGCCAGCTCTCAGCTTGCCATTTGGGATTCCAGGTCAGCTGAACGGGTAGGATACATTCATGAGGTTATCTCCCTCTTTTTCTCCCTGAGTTATTCATTTCTTCATTTTCCCTTTCTTTCGTAAATAGACCTTTTATTAACCTTTTGTGTGCGCCTGCAGTGAGTATTAATAAGTCCCTTTTAAGTGTGCTGGTAAGGACCCACAGCCAGGCAACCCATTTTGTATAGGGGTTGCCCTGTAACAAAAGCAGCCACTACCCAGCCGTTGGAGTCCCTCCCTGAAATAGGACTTTTGCCCAAAAAACCCACCACATTTTGGGATGGCAGATTTTTGCTGTACTGGAGAGATGTCACTCCTGGAACTTAGCATTTCCTTTTGCAAGAGGTCACTGGGGACCATATGAGGTGGGCCTCAGGTATGTGAGAAGGGAAAATACAAAGTGCTAAGGAGCAGAACTGGCTTAGACTTTTTTTCAGACAAGTCAGAAGGTAGAAGACAGGTTGCTCTGTAGCTTGACAGAATGATCAGAGTCCCAAGATGGGGAAAACTCATAAAAATCAGGAGCAAATGCTGATGAGTTTCTTGTCTTGAGCAGGTATGTGCTTTATAGGAAGAGGTTGGAGGGTGAGCCCACCCACTGAGGAGGAAATCCAACACTGACAGGCTTATCGCAGATCTGGTGGGGCCTATGAGAGGGGCAGGGCCTCCACAGCTTCGTTCTGTATCTTCACAGCCTTAGAAGCAGGGTGAGCTGCAGTCTGGGCCCTGATGACAGCAGCAACTTCAGTCCTGTCTGGCATGCATAAGAGTCATGGTCCACCAGACCTGTGACACCAGGGCTTACAATCGCAGGGTTGCTTCCTGAGCTTGGTGACAGGCCTTGTCTCCTATCCAGATGGTGAAATGACTTGACTTTATGCCCTTTCCACAAGGTGCCTCATGAATGTGGCCTCATCCTCAGGAAAGTAGCCACTCATGGTGCATCATTTTTGTGTCAAAGGGCTATTCAGGTGTGCTGGCCTCTTGGTGCTGAGGGGAAGGAGGGTGGACCTCCCTCCTTTTCTGGCTTAGAAGAAGTAAGGCAGCTGTGGGCAGTCCATATCCACTATTTTTTAAAAAAGATTTATTTATTTATGCATGCAAGAGCTGGGGTGTAGGCCAGAGGTAGGGGGGGTAAGAGGATTCACCAAAGACAGAGTAGGAAGCAGAACAGGCAGACCGATGGAAATACACTGCTGTGGGGAGCAGCAGGTGAGACAGGAGAGATCTGCTGTGCCATGTGGGTTCGCTCCCTGGCCAGGGATTGAACTCCTGCTGCAGTGGCTGTGGATAGCTTCCTAGCCCTGAGACTTAACCCTTTGTGCCACCAGGGGGGTCCCCATATCCTGTATTTACTGATGATTCACTCATCTACCAAAGAAGCTGAACGTCCTGCAGTGATGAGCCCAGCACACAGTTTCAGGTACACAAAAATACCAACAATCACACGCCCTTTGAATAAGTAACCTGCACCAGGACATTGTGAAAGCCATATGCCCTGGCACTCCAGGGCACCAGGAGTCACAGTGACAGGGGGGCTCAGAGCCACTGACACACACACACCTACTTTGATTAATGAACACCTGCTCAAATGTATCCACCCTGCCCCGAAGCACACACACCTGCCCAATACACATGCTCAGAACCTCCTCTTCTCTCCCGTTACATACCAGCTTGTTCTTCAGGGAACTCTTCAGCAAACCTGCTGGTGACTTTGCTGTGAAAGGAAATTCTCCACTTCCTTCTCTTCTTCCTTTTCCTGACTTCTCCCACTTCTTCAGGGAAAAGAGAAGCAGGGACCAACTATGAGTTGATTCCAGAAGCCTGGGGATCTAAGTCTGCAAGGACCCCATTAAAGCACTGAGGTATAGGAGCCGACCAGTTAAAGGGATCACTAGAGCACAAGTTAGGTCAGTTTGCCTTAGTGGTGAGGCCCCTGTGCTGGAGAGGCCCATTGCTCTGAGCTTGGTGATGCAGATGGTCAGAGAGGTGCTGGTTCAGTCTAGCCAAAGGGACTAGTGAGCTCAAGGGGCTTTACTGATCTTCAGTGCTTTGAGAAGCAAGATTAGCAGGTAAGGCCTGCCTGGTGGCACAAGGGTAGTTAAGCATAGCACTGTGAAGCTGTCCGCAGCCACTGCAGCATGAGTTCGAATCTCTGGCCAGCCAGGGAACTACCCATATGGCGCAGCAGACCTCATCATTTCCCCCTAACATCCTGACTGCTGCTCCCCTCAGCAGTGTATTTCAGTCAATCTGCCTGTTCTGCTCCCCACTCTGTGTCTGGTGAGTCCTCTCACCCCTGCACTGCTGGCCTGTACCCCAGTTCTTGTTTGCATAAATAAAAAAAAATAAAATAAATCTTAAAAAGACAAACAAACATGGGTCTCCCTGGTGGCACAAGGAGTTAAGCACCTCACTATGGGTCAATCCACAGCCTCGGCAGCATGAGTTCAATCCCCAGCCAGCCAGGGAGCACATGGCACAGCAGACCTCTCCTGACTTGCGCGCTGCTCCCTTTAGCAGTATATTTCAGTCAGTCTGCCTGTTCTGTTCCCTATTCTGTCTCTGGTGAACCCCTGCATCTCTGGCCTGAACCCCAGCTCTTGTATGCATAAATAAATAAATCTTTAAAACAAACAAACAAAAGGGCCTCCCCTGGTGGCTCAGCGGTTGAGCACTGGGCTGCGAAGATGCCTGCAGCCTCTGCAGCACTGGTTCAATCCCTGGCCACCGAAGATGCCTGCAGCCTCTGCAGCACTGGTTCAATCCCTGGCCACCGGGTGAGGGTCCACATGGTGTGCAGACCTCTCCTGCCGCCCACTGCTCCCCTCAGCAGTGTACTTCATCAGTCTGCCTGTTCTGCTCTCCGTTCTGTCTCTGGTGAATTCTCTCACCCTCCGGGGCTTCTGACTGTACCCAGTGCTTGTATAAATAAATAAATAAAATTAAAAAAAAATAAAACAAACAAACAAAAAAGATTAGCAGGTAACATTGAGCAATCTGGTGTATACAAGGCACAGACTAAGGAGATCATATATTTTGTAATCTTAAAATAAGTCTAGCAAAAACAATGGAAAAAAAGACAAAGAAAAAAATAGCTGAAAATAATTCTTTCTCTCAGGGTAATTATAATCTGATAGTGGAGATACATAAGGAAGATGTTATAACCTTAGGGAACAGCACAAGAATTTCTTTAGACAAAACATGTTTATCAATTGACAAATAGAAACACCGAAGCAAGGAAACCAGGAAGTGATACTTCAATATGCAAAAGAACCAGGGCTGGAGAACTGGGGAGGTCTCCAGGGCTAAAAGAGAGAACTGGGAGGCGGAGATACAGAGTTTAGCTGCTTTTCGGGTTCTGTTGGGCTTGGGGTCAATGGGAAGAGGGTTCAGGAGGGTCTGAACACCACTATTGAGGGGCGGGATGACTCAGACTGGACAACCTTTCCCTTCTATCCTTTATGTATAGTCAGAGCAGGAGGGGTCACTTGGGAGGAAGAGAAAAGGGTGGGGGTTCCCTCTAAGACTGATTGTCACCTCGCCTTCCTCACCCCCTTTCCTGACAGTAGCTTCTGGCCTTCTTGGCCGGGATGAGAAGCAGCAGGGCAACCCCCTGCCCTCCATTAGCCAACTTGGACAGAGCCGAGATGCTTGTCGGCTGGCAACAGAAATGTCTGGGCTTCTGTGTCTGGGGGAAAGGTGCTTGCCAGCCAGGAAGAAGGAGAATGTGCCCATGTGTCTAGATAGATTGTGAATATAGGCAGGTGTGTGTAGCTACACACAGGAGAGGGGAAGCTGGGGTTGTAATTATGAATAAAAGCAGCATAGAAATCAGGAGAACCCCATTTCCTCCAACCCCTCTACCCAACCTCCACTCCAGTACGACACCTGCCTCTTCCCATAGTTCCCACAGCCACTTGCCAAAGAGCACGAAGTTCACCCAGGCCGCAGCTGACCTAGGGGCCTCCTTTCTCTGAGAGCCCACTGTGATCCCCAGGGCAAAAGGACGGAGAAGGGGAGACTTCCTCTAGGTCTGAACATTGAATGACTTATGATTCTGTGAAGGACAGAGAGCGCAGACATGGATTTATTCTAAATTTTTGGATAGATATAATTTGGCACATAGCAGAGAGAAAAACTCTCTTAAATACATTTTTCGTGACATTCACTTGCATTTGTTATTAACACCAAAGACAGATCCTGCCTTTACTGGGGAAACAGGGTTTCTTTATCCCAAATCTTTCCTGAACTCATTGATTTTCGTTGTTCTTATAATAGATGCTCATAGAAGAAAATTGGAAACTATAAAATGAATCCATAAATTACCAACCACCCTCTTTAAGAACTTTCACAGACCCTACAAACGCCCACCATAGGATGCCTCTATCACGTTAAACTACACCCATATTCCACACTAAAAGTTATGAAGTGGTGGGCCTCCCCGGTGGCGCAGCGGTTGAGCGCTGGGTTGCGAAACTGCCCGTGGCCTCTGCAGCGCCGGTTCGATCCCCGGCTGCTCCCCGGCCACCAGAGGGTCCCACATGGTGCGCAGACCTCTCCTGCCGCCCACTGCTCCCCTCAGCAGTGTACTTGGGTCCTTCTGCCTGCTCTGCTCCCCGCTCTGGCTCTGGTGAATTCTCTCACCCTCCCGCGCTTCTGACTGGACCCAGTGCATGAATAAACAAACAAACAAATAAATAAATAAATAAACATGCCTCTTAAAATAAATAAATAAATAAATAAAATATAGAAAAAAAAATTAAAAAAAATAAAAGTTATGAAGTGGAGCTGAAATTGTCAAATTGACATAATACCACATTTTGGAGACCTTTAATTAAATATTTACTCACTTAAATTTTGCCTTTAAACGAATTTTGAAGTCAATGTATCTTGCTTTCCATATCTTAACTATTTGGGGGCGGTCTTGAAAGTCTATTGGCCCCAGACACCGTGACTAAAGAAACAAGATGGCCCCACCAAGGGAGAAAGGATAATATTAACGTCGATATGTAAGAATACATCCTGTCAGTCTCTCTATATTTGTCATGGCTAACTTCACAGCCCACACAGTTTTGAATATAATTTTTCTATTCTGCATTGTTCATTCGGAAATGGAGCTTGGGGGTGGAAGTCTATTATGTCTTTGAGATCCTCCCCCTCACCATGCAGAAGGTTCTAGAACCACACAGCTGTGAGGTGGGAAGGCTTAGAGACAGCTCATCCTTCTGTCCCGAGGTTCACAGGTGAGGACAATGAGCCTCAAGAAATAACCTTTTCCCAGGTAGGTGGTTACTTAGTGCCAGAACCAGACTTAGCATTGAGGCCTCTGCCTCAAGTAGGGGTGAGGAAACTACGATTTACCTGTTCCCTGCCCATCTTTCAGGGCTGGCCTTACCTGCCACGGGCACTTTCTGCTGGGGCTGTGCTCTGCCATAGCTCTCCCACTCCATTCCCACCTCCCACATCCGTCAAACTGCTCTTCACCCAGTTTCCCCATCCAAACTGACTTGGCTGTCTTCCCTTCGTTGCATATCTGTTGTCTCAACGTTGCACAAGCTATTAATTTTTAAAAATTGTTAGTAAATATTCACGGAAGAAAATCTGGGGGAGAAAAAAGAAGAGAAAGAAGCTCATATTTGTATCACCCTGAGATGATCGATCATTGTTTAATGTTATTGCACAACAATTAAAAATAAATAGAGCCAATCATTGAGCAGCTGTTCTTTTGATTAAAAAATAGAAAATATCTCAGATATAAAAAGAATGATTCATTCACTCAAAAAAAATTTTTTTTACGACCTCCAATATGCCAGGTACTGCTCTGGATCTAGGTAGAGAGTAACTGACACAAATGTCCAAGCCATTGTCCTAGAGGTGCTTAACACATAAATACAAAACATACAAAAATATAACATAGGTTTGGTGGTGTTGAGTACTATAAAGAAAAAATAGAGAGTAAGGGAGGTAGAGGGGGCAGGTGTTATATAGGAAGTCCTCTGTGAGAAATGACATTTGATCATGATGCAGAAGGAAGTGAGAGAGTGAGCCCTCTGTTCATTCAACAAATATTTACTGAATGTGTTTCAGACATGAAGGACACAGCAGAGAATAAAAGAAACATTTTACCCTAGGCCACTGTCTAGGCCTCACTGGAGACACCTGCTCTGTTCTACCAACAGCACAAAGACTGAGTTGTTCAGGAAGAGAAGGACTAGGAAGAGCTTCCCTTACCATTTTTATTTTATTTTATTATTTTTCAAGATTTATTTATTTATGCATGCAAGAACAGGGGTACAGGCCAGAGGTGCGGGGTGGGGGCGGTGAAAGGATTCACCAGAGACAGAGTGGGAAGCAGAACAGGCGGATTGACTGAAATACACTGTTTTTTTTTTTTTTTTTTTAAAGATTTATTTATTTATTTATTTATACAAGCACTGGGTACAGTCAGAAGCGCGGGAGGGTGAGAAAATTCACCAGAGCCAGAGCGGAGAGCAGAGCAGGCAGAAGGACCAAAGTACACTGCTGAGGGGAGCAGCGGGCGGCAGGAGAGGTCTGTGCCCCATGTGGGACCCTCCTCTGGTGGCCGGGGAGCAGCCGGGGATGGAACCGGCGCTGCAGAGGCTGCGGGCAGCTTCGCAACCCAGCACTCAACCGCTGCGCCACCGGGGAGGCCCTGAAATACACTGTTGAGGAGAGCAGCGGGCAAGTCAGGAGAGGTCTGCTGCACCCTGTGGTTAGCTCCCTGGCCGGGGGTCAAACTCGTGCTGCAGTGACTACAGTTAGCTTCATAGGTTGTGTCTTAACCCCTTGAGCCACTAGGGAGGCCCAGATTTATCTATTTTTATGTGAGAACTGGGGTACAGGTCAGAGGCACGGGTGGGTGAGGGAACCCACCAGAGACACAGCGGGGAGCAGAACAGGCAGATTGACCGAAATACACCGCTGAGGGGAGGAGCGAGTAAGACAGGAGAGGTCTGCCACGCCATGTGGGCATCTCCCTGGCCGGCGGGGAATTGAACCCATGCTGCAGAGGCCACAGACAGCTTCAGAGTGCTGCGCCCAAACCGCTGCACCAGTGGGGAGGCCCTATCCTTAACATTTTAAAATGGGGCCTCCCCAGTGGTGCAGAGGTTAAGTCTCAGTGCTATCAAGCTATCAGCAGCCACTGTAGCATGTGTTGGATCCCCAGCCAGCGAGGTGATGACATGGCACAGCAGACCTCTCCTATCTCGCCAGCTGCTCCCCTCAGCAGTGTATTTCAGTAGATCTGCTGTTCTGCTCCCCACTCTGTCTCTGGTGAAACCTCTCACCCTCCCCACACCTCTGGCCTACACCCCAGTTCTTATATGCATAAATAAATATTTTTAAAAAAAAACCTTAAAATGTCCAACAATTAATCAATATCTACCTTCCTCTCAAATAAAAACACTAATTCAACTTTCTGTGCTCACCACTCCCAACTTAAATGTTTACCAATTATTAGTGCATTTTGTTATTTTCACTTTACCAAAACAATCATTATTATTAAAAATAGTTTGGGGGCATCCCTGGTGGCACAGGCAGTTGAGTGCCACACTGTGGGGCTGTCCGCAGCCTCTGCAGCACAGGTTCGATCCCGGCCAGCCGGTGAGAATCCCACATAGCCAAGCAGACCTCTCCTGTCTCACCCGCTGCTCCCCTCAGCGGTGTATTTCTTCGGTCTGCCTGTTCTGCTCCCCCCTCTATCTCCGGTGAATCCTCTCACCCTCCCATGCATCTAGCCTATACCCCGGTTCTTGTATAAAAATAAATATTAAAAAAATAGTTTTGAGAAGTCACTTTGTTTAGATTTATTGCTGTGTCTTCTAAATGGGTAATTTGTATCTCATTATTTCCTTCTAGATTCAGTTTCTTCTTAAGCATATGCTTCAAAAATTTTGTTAGTAAGGGCCCATAGAGGCTAGCTTTTTTTTCTATGTCATCTGATTTAATTTGCCCTCCTTTTTTAGAATACTGGCTTTATTCAGATATGTCACATACCAGAATTCATCCTTACAAAGTGCACAGTTCAGTGGCTTAAAGTATATTTACCAAGTTGTGCAACCATCACCACTGTCTAATTTTAGAACATTTTCATCATCCCCAAAGAAACCCGTTGCCCATTAGCTGTCACTGCCCACTCCCCTCTCCCTCCAGCCCCTGGCAACCACTAAGCTACTTTCTATCTCTATGCATTTGCCTTTTCTGGACTTGTCACATAAAGGGAATCATACAGTATGTGTCTTTTTGTGTCTGACTTCTTTCACATAGCATGTTTTCAAGGTTCATGTGCATTGTAGCATGTGTAAGTGTGCCATTCTTCAAAGGTTACTTACTATTCCATAGTACCACATTTTGTTTATCCATGAGTTGATGTACATTTGGGTCATTTCTACTTTTTTGGTGATAATGAATGACGCTATGAACATTTGTGTACAAGTTTTTGCGTACATATTTTCTACTCTTGAGTATATTCTTAGGGGTAGAATTGCTGGGTCCTATGGTAACTGTGCTTAAATTTTTTTTTTTAAAGATTTATTTATTTATTTATACAAGAACTGGAGTACAGGCCAGATGCGCCGGAGGATGAGAGAATCTGTTACAGGGCAGGGAGAGGGGCACCCCAAGACCCTGCAAACCTGCCTGCTCTAAATAGGTTCTGCCATCCGCCGCATCAACACAAAACAAATGAGATTTTAATGGGAAGGAACTTTAATACCATTAGGAAACAATACAGGAAAGGCAAAGAATATAGTTTCTAAATCAAGCACCCAGAGTTACCCGTCCCCTCGTGGGCAAAAGTCTACCCAAGCAGCATTGGCCCAGAACAAGTCCCCAAAGCCCTGCCACAAGTCTAAAACATCTTCCAGTGGGGACCCACAGAAAAGGATCAGAAACAACCAGACAAGTCTGGAAGGAAAAGAGCAAAATCAAGACAAAAACCGCTATTGTCACCACCCCACAGGTCTCTCACCCACATCTGTGTCACCCAGTCCACGACTAAAAGGCAAGCACAGTTTCTGCACATGTCTCTCAGCTCCATGTTCCTCCTCCAGGTCTCCTTCTGGCTCCATTCTGCTTCCGTCTTTCCTCAGTCTCCTCTGCAGCTTCTTCTCTCCCTGCTCAGCTCTACCCTCCTTTTGGGTGGGGCAGGAAACCTGGAAACTTCCCCTTTCCTGGGGACCACCCTGTTACAGATTCACCAGAGACAGAGTGAGAAACAGAACAGGCAGACTGACTGAAATACACTGCTGAGGGGAGCAGCAGGTGAGACAGGAGAGGTCTGCTGCACCATGTGGGACCTTCACCGGCTGGCGGGGATCGAACCAGCGCTGCAGAGGCTGCAGACAGCTTCACAGCGCTGCGCTCAACAGCCTGCGCCACCAGGGGAGGCCCACTCTGTGTTGAAATTTTTTCTTAAAGATTTATTTATGCATACAAGAATGGGTGTAGGCCAGAGGTATGGGGGTGGGGATGAGAGGATTCAACAGAGACACAGTGGGGAGCAGAAAAGGCGGACTGACTGAAATACACCGCTGAGGGGAGCCAAGAGGAGAGGTCTGCTGGGCCTTGTGGGTCAGCTCGCTGGCAGGGCATCTAACTCAGGCCTCAGGGGCTGGCTATAGGTTGATAGTGCTGAGATTAACCCCTGCCCCACCAGGGAGACCCTATGTTTATATTTTTGAGGAACAAACTGTTTTTCACAGCAACTGCACCCTTTTACATTCCCAACAGCAATGTATAAGGGTTCCATTTTCTCCACATCCTCGCCCACACTGATGCATTTGTTTTTTTGAAATAGGTATATATAATCTTCCTAGTGGGTCGGAGATGTCTCATTTTGTACATCCTATCTCGTGAGGTTGTTTTAACACAGGCTGTAGCATCCACTACACTATGCACTCATTTTTTCCACTTAACAATGTGTCATGGAAGTCATGACCATACGTACAAAGTTTTTTTGTTTTAGCTCCATTTCTGGTAACCACTGTGTGTGAATGTGCAGTCACAGTCAGTACTGGTAACTTACTTAACCAGTAATCCCCCACCAATAGGCTGTTCTGTTTATCCCCCCCAATCTTTTGTTATGATAAATGATGCTGCAAT